CACTTTTTTTCTTTTTCTTTCTTTCTTTCTTTTTTTTTTTTTTTTTGATCTTTTTTTATGCAGACATTTTAATAGGTTCGCTATTTTACTGTTTTTTCAATGAGATCAAAGATTAATAGAAAGAGAGTAACGAGGGGGAAGGAAGATAGGGATAGATTAATTTTTGCTTCGCTGATTAGCCTGGCAGTTATACGTTGCTTTGCCTATTATTTTCACGTTGGAGAAAATAAACGTTTCGTCTTCCGGTAAAATAAAGAACGCTTCGATATTATCGAATATGATCGAATAGTAGATTTTGGAGTATCGCGCGATACATCTGGATTGATCAGATTTTTGAAAATTTTAAAAATAAAAAAAAAAAAATCTTGATTAATCGTCGTGATATGTATGTAAAGAATTTTTTTAAATTTCGAAGTGAATTTCAATTGTAATGTAATATTTCGTGTATATACTGGATGTCTGTAAAATAACATCCTGTATATAACGCTCGTGTACAACGAAAATTATATTATAATGTACGCAATTTAATTGCTCGTAAATTTTGCATTATTTTTTCAAGCAAAAGTTTCATATTTTCTTCTTTTTTACAACTTCTGCTTATTATTAATATTTTGCAAACAAAGGAAGAGAAAAATTACACCTTCTTCGATTCTGACCTAACATTATTAAGTATTAAGTTAAACATATATTAAACAATGTAATCCATCATGTATCGCGTATAAAACTAGTCACACTTGTCACCGTCGTTTAATCATAGTTTTTTAATAGAACAATATCATAACGATTACACGAATATACTGCATGAACGACAATACAAAAAATTACAGTTAAATAATAATAAAAAAAAAAAAAGAACAAGAGAAGAACAGAAAAAAAATTAAATTCAACAATACAACATTTATTTATTTTTTTGTTGAATATATCGTGTTTAAAAATGAAAGATTAATTTTTTAAAGAGTTTCCGGTTACTCGATGAATACCACAACAGTTATTCTGTTCCATACAGATATACTTTTGACAAAATTATTCTGATAAGGGCGGGTTAGAGATTTTGTATGACTGTGCAGATGGAATTGATCGCGATGGGGACCTAGATCTTGCAGATGGCGAACTCGATGCGTATAGAGACAAGAAGAGTGCCAAGGAGCTGAACCAATTAGAAGTTGCTATTGGGGATGGAATGGAATTTACGATTCATGGTAAGATCGAGAAACGTTCCATTTCCATATCTCTTATCTTCATCCAGATTTTTGAGTTTTTAACAAACTGAGTATCATCGGTTATTTTAATTTTATTTTATTTTTGAAGAGATAATTAAGAAAATATATAATATAGAAAAAAAAATTACACTATTATACAAAATTATATAATTTAGAAAAAAAAATGTAACTACTGTTTTATCGATAATCAAATGAGAATGTTTCTTTCTTTTTTTTTTCGAAGGAGACCTAAAGAATAAATTGAAGAAGGGTAAATTGTGCATGAACAACAGCAAAGTTATAGCAAATTCGATAAATCATCGTGACTACAGGCTGGATAATGATTATATTAATCAAAATGAGGATGATACTATCAGGTGATTATCTTTTTGAGTTTTATGGAGTTTTTTTGAATTATTATCGAAGATTATTATTTTTTTTTTTTTTTTAATGGAAAATTATATAAGTTTCCTTTCTGTTTTATTTTATTTTTTATTTGGTATTTGTGCAGTAATAAATCATATGGCAGCCATAAAAATAGGGCGTTCAAGGACGAAAGTCATAAGGGGAGCATGGATTCATTGGATGGAGAAGAGAAGAAGGATGCGAGCAAAGAAGATTTAGAACAAGAAGAAGGTAAATAATTGTTGTAGTGAAATTAAAATTTAATTTTAAATTTGCAAATAAAATTATAAAAAAGAAAAGGCACAAATTATTAAAAACAAAAATTAATTGTATTTTTAAGATCTTGGCGAAGAAGGAGAGGAAGGAGAAGGTGTCATAGGCGATGCGATTATCCAAGCAGAGGAAGATCCCATCGAATCCGATTATCCAGCTGATTGTTGCCCAGAAAATTGTTACAAGAAGTTCCCATTCTTGGCTGGCGATGACGACGCACCGTTTTGGCAAGGTTGGGCGAATTTGAGACTGAAGACCTTCCAACTAATTGAGAACAAGTATTTTGAGACTGCCGTCATTTTGATGATCCTTTTGAGTAGTATGGCTCTCGTAAGTATATTGAATATTTTTCATCAATCTTTATTATTTTCATTATTATTTTTTTTTTTTATTTATGTGAATAATTTTAAAAATGTAATCGTATGATGTTCAGGCCTTGGAAGATGTGCATCTTCAACAACGACCCATTCTGCAAGATATCTTGTACTACATGGACCGAATATTTACTGTGATTTTTTTCATCGAAATGTTAATCAAATGGTTGGCTCTTGGCTTCAAAAAATATTTCACGAACGCTTGGTGCTGGCTTGATTTTATCATTGTCATGGTAAGTTATATTTCTTCAATATATTTTATATTTCACATAATTTTATGATCTAAATGTGTGTAATCCTTTTTTGAAAAATTAAAAAAAAAAAAAGTACTAGAAGGCCTTAATCAAAAAATAAAATAAACGATTACTCACATGAAGAATCTTAAATTATTTTTAAAAAATAAAAAACATTTTTAATTTATTTTTAATAATAAAAAAATATGTATAATTCATATTTTTTATAAATTGTCTCTAATTTATTTAATAATTTAGATCATACTGCAGTTAAACTTCGTTTACTCCTAGAAACAAGCTTACAATAAAATTCAGCAGTATCTTATACAAAGTCTATCACATCCTAAATCATTTTTTCAACTTTGTATAAGATTTCAAAATGATCGAATCTCAATCAAGAAAAAAAATCTAAAATATTTTAATTCCATTTTAAGAAATTAAAGATTTTGTAAACTTGTTGCAAAAAAATCTCACTTTCAAGTTTCTTTGAGTGACGACGTGTTTCCTCCACTTTCTTCTTCTTCTTCTCTCAACCACCCAAAAAATATCTATTCGAATAACGGAAGAGCGCAACGTGGAATCACTCCCTCGTGCTGGATCACTGTGTATTACAATCGTTTAATAATCATGTGTTATGTATCACGTTCCATCTGATCGATATTTGATGATGATGATAGCTTTCACTGATCAACTTGGGCGCAATCTGGGCAGGCGCCGCAGACATCCCGGCCTTCCGTTCCATGAGAACACTGAGGGCCTTGAGGCCTTTACGAGCTGTGTCACGATGGGAGGGCATGAGAGTAAGTCATCGGTCAACGAGAAGCAACAAAGAAAACCGATAAAGATCGGCCTGATCCGGTGATGTGACCATCTTTGTCCAATCTTTGCAAATTTGACGGATTAAACGATCATAACAAACTTATTAAAATTAAAATATTATTCAATATTATAATTTTTTTCTTTAGAATTTTCTAATTTAAAAAAAAAAATCATTTTTATAATATCAAGGAAATATATTTCTTATTAAATCATGGTGATATTTTTAAAATTTATTCTTCTGATCTTCAATCCGTTATATTTGAATCAGGACTTTGGTTTTTCGACAAATTGATATGAGAAAAAAAAAATAAATAAAGAAAAGAGAAGGGAACGATAAGTAAAAACCGAGGGAAAAATAAAGAGAGGATATGATCGCTACAATAATTGTAGCCTTGTACTCTATGGTGTGCTTTCCAGTGTACAGAGTTACACTGGTGTCTCTACTTAATGTCTGCACTGATATTGAAGTTTTTGTCGTACTAGCTATTGCCGATGTACGCCTTTCCTAACAGTCTTTTTTAGCACAGTGATCGTTGTGCAAAATACAGTGTATCTATATACATATGAACTATATATATATATACATTATATATATACATATTATATTGCTTTGTGTGTACTGTACAATCTTCCTTATGTGTTAATGTACGCGTGTATACTACAATACTATATTATGCGCGTGTAATTTGGAATTTTGATCATCAGGTTTTTGATTTCTTAACAATGCAACGCATTATGGTATCATTTTCTTCAATATATCTTTGTGAAGAATTGGCAAGAAATATAATATTTTAAAATATAAAATAATATATAGGAAATAATTTATTAATTTTAAAAAATTAAAAGAAAAAATTTCATAAGTTAAAGTTTTCAACAATTCTAATTAATAAATTATTGAACAAGAGAAAATTGATACTTAATGTTGTTATTGCAAATACATATGACGAACCTTTTCATCTGTTTCAGGATGGAGCTGATTATTATGCTCGTAACTAATAATAACTCTCATCAATTCATTCATTGCTCTCTGCATTGTCGATTGTATTCACTTGATTGCGTACAAGGAAATCTAGAAAAATTCATATGTAAATTAAATGAACTCAATGAATTAACTTTTTAAATAATTTTGATATTACTTTAAAAAATAATTGTGCGCAAATAAGTGTGATACTATACCCATTCTCTGTGAACTGCTACTTGTGCCATATCTGGTTTCTATCAGTGTCTTCGTCCCCCTGCTCTGGATATTTGTTGTATCTAATAATGTGTATCATACACTATTTAAATGGAACGATCTCTACAGATGGGACGGACTCCTGCATTATTTTAAATCCGCTTCAATGGTCTCCTCGATCCATCCATGGGCAATCGAGAAAAAAAAATGAAATGAAATGAATTGACGCGTCGACCGTCAACCATAACCTCTATTTTTCTTCTACCTTCTAACCTCTTTTCTATCTTTTTATCAAATTGTCCCAAAAGTTTTTTTCATCGTCAAATAGAATAAGATTTAATGATTCTTTATAAGAAAAATTTTTTATAAATAAATCAAAACTTTGAAAGAATAGAATAGTAAAAATTTCAAGAATATGGAACTCTCCGACTACTCTGACTAATCTAAGTATACGATATAAATTTTATGATACATAAAATTTTATAACTAATAAAATATCATAATATAAGATGTATAAGTATGATCTATTTCTATTTTAAAAAAGAAATGAAATCGTAAAAATTCCACAAAAATAGAAGGAAGACTGTTGGGATAACCTGATATTTCTCTATCTATCTCTGTTTCTTTCTATCTCTTTTTCTCTTTCTCTTAGAATTCTAGTATTTGATAGTTCGGAAATGATTATATGATTATGATGATTATGATTATGATGATGATTATGATGATGATGATGATGATGAATTCGTATCGCGAGTAGCCTGTCTGTCTACCTGTTGCTGTGATCCGCTCTCGTTTCTCGCTCGCAGGTGTCACTCATTAACTTCGTAGCGTCGCTCTGTGGCGCTGGCGGGATCCAAGCCTTCAAAACAATGAGGACCCTAAGGGCCCTAAGGCCACTCAGGGCGATGTCTAGAATGCAGGGAATGCGGGTATGTAGCCCACAGTCTCAGCAGACCTTGCCGATTACTTTTTTATTATGTTCCCAAAAGAATCGATCATTATTCTTTATATTGGGCGAATCGAGGCATTGAGTTGGGCATATGTTTTTGGAAAAGTTTTCGAAAATTTTTAAACAAGTAGTTCTAGACATAGTAGTATTAGTGAATCATAGTGGTAGATGATAGAACGATAAATAATCGATCTAGAACTATTTGATTGGAAATTTGTTAAAAAAAAAGTGGATATTTATTAATTATTATTTAAAATTTAGAATTAATATTCGAAACTTTTCATCATTATATTTTTTAAAATTATTCTTTTTTAAAATTGAATTATATTTTGATAATGTATCTATGAAATTAGGATTATATATAATTGATAGGTTATATAATAATAATATATAATAAACCTTCTATTTATAGTATTTCAACTTTCTACATTTATTTTTTAGAAAAACATAAATATTAGATAATTGATAAATGGAATAAATGAGATCATTATTAAATAATGCCTAACTCTATTGATAATTTTCGATTCGTTACATATAATTGATAATTTTCAGATTTTCAATTTAGATTTTTTCGGTGCCGTCGAACTATCTTTCGATAACGAACGATTAAAATGATTAATTATTCGAATAATAATATCGATCTCGATATTGTCAAAATCTTTATAAAAAAATAAATAAATAAAATAAATTTAATAACGGCGGCACCGTTTTTTTTTCTTTTTTCATCGCGAGACTCGACAATGAGGCCGATTGGAGTTTTATATTAAAAAAAAAGAATTTTTTTTCTTTATTCTATTATTAATTATAAAATATAATTATATATTAAATAATCAAAACATTAATGCATTAAATAATGGAACAACTCTTCGGTCTCGCCATGTCGAAGACTCGATTCCTTTTGCACGAGATCATAAGTAGGGCGATCGCGAATGCACTTGAGCTTAAAATTGCGAATGTACGGCACGTAGACTCGTTCTTTATTGAACAATTCTCTAAGAGATATGCACCTTAGAGGACACATATACGCTATTGTTCGTGAATTTAAAATCAACGAAAGTTTATTGCAAATTCGAAACAAGATCTTATTCACAATTTTCTATTTAATAATCTCTAAAACATTTAATATTTTATTCTATTTCATTCTATTATATATAACATAATTTAAGATAAAGATGCAATTTAAAAAAAATTAAAAATTAATTCATTTTAAATCTATAATTTTTTTTCAAATATATATTTAAATTATTATTATAAAATTATTATATGTAACGAATTAAAAAAATCCAAAGCCTGTCAAAAACTTCGCTTTTGATACATCTAACAATTTTTAAAACTACATATATGTAATTCTCAAGTTCAACATTAACTTTTAATTCAAATCATATTTAATTAATAATTACAATTAAAAAAAAAATCACAATTTACAATCCTCGGTGTATCTAGATTATTATCTCGATCAACGAGCCTGAAAACGTGCCTCAACTCTACTAAAATACTGCTAAATATATTATATCTCAACATATTAAAACGCAAGCAACAACACACGTATTATACCAACATATATACATATATATACTAGTTTAGGATGAAAATTTAATAATTTACATATCTCATTACAGACATATGATTCTACATAACTGTAATACAAGGTCGCTGAGATACTGGGCGTAGAGTTACTGTCATGCCCACGCCCTGACACTATCTTATCCTACCTTTTTATACAGTAGTTTATAGCTACTATTTTTCAGCATACATCTCTATCTCTACGTATATAAATATATATTATATATAATATATATAACTGATACAAGTTGTACAAGATACAATTGTACAAGAATATTATATATCATATATATTATGTATATTATTTTGATCTTCTGTTAATTTTTTTTCTTTATTTCTGCATGGAATCGTTGCTTGCCGCTGACAAATGCTGAAAATTACGCACGACATGATTGCATCAGACAAGGAAAAGAATCTTTTTACTATGCTTATGCTTCTTACGCCACCTGCTGCTGCTTTATTTCTCGTGTATTCTGATTATAAAATTCTGGGCACACTTGTTTAAATTTTGATCTTGAGACAACACATGTTATGAGTACGCACCATACGTCACATCGATCAATGATCAGGCAAATCGATACTTTGTTACTTCTTAATTTTCTTATTCTGTTCGTTTCCATTAAATGTAAGTGAATCGTGAATTTCGAGAACGCAGAGGCACTCCTTGTGTTTGCCATTTTCTTTTTTCTTTTTTGTTCGATTGAATCGTTTCTATTTATTTGAAGACTTTCTTGTGTTTAATTGATATATCTTATTTCGAGAACGCAAAAAATCTTCCTTGTGTTCGCCATTTTTCTTTTTATTTTCATTTTTACTTTCTACTTTTGTCCGTTTGTTTGGAAACTTGTGATTTCGATGTTTTATTGATACATATCTCTATGTTCGTGCGGTGTAATTGTACGAAATTGAACGTGGTAATTGGTGGAGTAAGTATGCAAGATTTACCTCGGTTTATTGTTCCATAAAAAATGAAAAATTGAATCATTTTGCATAAATTATTTAAAAATAAATGAGCCAAACGGATACTTCATCGACTCTGTTTCCTGATTTGATCTTGTGTGAAAAATCGAATGAAATTAAGTAGAAATGTTGTATACTTTTTTTTATTATTTAATTAAATATTTTATGGATTATAATTTTTGTAATAATGTAAGGTAATAATAATCATTAGAATTAAAATTTACAGAGATTTAATTGCTATTAATTCTTCATATTTCTTCACTATTTCATACTTTGAAGAAAAATTGTATTCTTTACATTCAAATATAATTCTTTTTACTTTATTATTTTTTATTCTTTCAACTAGTAAAGAAATTAAAAACAAAATTCTGGTATTTGTTTCAAATGTTTGAAATTTTTTTCAGTAAAAATAATGATTTAGAAAAGAGAAATTAAAAAGAATGAAATATTTCGTTTAGGTTTAGAAAAATTATCAATGAACTTAAAATATATAAATATTTAATTCTTATTTTTTTTATCATCAAATTATCATCAACTTGATCTTAATTGACTTAATTTCACAATAATGATACAACATTCCTAATTCCTTTCACGTGATGTTTCACTATTTTTTTATTTTATCGCAAAAGAAGATTCCAAAATTCAAATTGCACATATGATGAACCAGTAATACACGTAGGCGTAGATTATAGAAAACGCCTAGAAATGCATAGAAACGCATACTTAAGCACATAGACAGGCAGAATAAAAAAAAAAATAATTGAAGCATTTTTTAAATACTTTAACAATATACTTTGTCTAACAGGTAGTCGTCAACGCTTTGGTTCAAGCCATTCCATCCATTTTCAACGTGTTACTGGTGTGTCTTATCTTCTGGTTGATCTTCGCCATTATGGGTGTACAGCTTTTTGCCGGCAAATATTTTAAGGTATGTGTTTATATTATATCATATCTTTATTTTTAATCTCTGTAATTTTAATAACTTTGATTGAAATTTAAATTTTTTAACTAAATTATATTAATTCTTTAAAATAAAACAGAAGAATTTCCATATTTTTCTATTAAATTGACAATATTATTTTATTCTTACAGTGTGTAGATGCGAATAAAACAACACTCAGCCATGAAATCATTCCTGATCGAAACGCCTGTTTGGCTGAGAACTACACCTGGGAAAATTCTCCAATGAATTTTGACCACGTAGGAAAAGCTTATTTATGCTTGTTTCAAGTGGCTACGTTCAAAGGATGGATTCAGATCATGAACGATGCCATCGACTCTAGGGAGGTGAGTGTGTGTCAAAATTAAAGATTTGCCAATTGAAAAATCATCATATTTTTGTGAATTTTCTTTTTCTTTTTTTTTTGTTTGCAGCTCAACAAACAACCAATTCGTGAAACGAACATCTACATGTATTTCTATTTTGTATTCTTCATTATATTTGGATCGTTTTTTACCCTTAATCTATTCATTGGTGTGATCATCGATAACTTTAACGAACAAAAGAAAAAGGCAGGAGGTTCCCTCGAGATGTTCATGACAGAAGATCAGAAGAAATATTACAACGCTATGAAAAAGATGGGTAGCAAGAAACCACTTAAAGCCATTCCACGTCCAAGGGTACGTACAGTTTAACATATTGTCATTATTGTTCTATTAATTTCTCAAATCTTTGATTTAAAAATTTAAATTAGAAATTGATCTTAAATTTGAAAAATTTAAAATAGTAAACAACTTATATATTTTTTCTATTCCTTACCTTTTAATTGCAATTTTATTTTAATATCAATTCTTTTTCCTTTATTTTCCAGTGGAGGCCGCAAGCAATAGTGTTTGAAATAGTGACAGACAAAAAGTTCGATATGATAATTATGTTGTTCATCGGATTGAACATGCTTACAATG